GAACTGAAAAGTAACGATGCAGGAGATCCTTCCAACTGAAGTGAATGCGCTTTCAAGGATAGTCAGAGAAGGAACTCCCAGATCAGCAGCCCATGGATTTAAAGAAAAAACACTACAGACAAAAAGAAGCCGCTCCCAAACCAATGTCTTCCCATTACAAAAATTTAACAAACCCATATTTTTAGGTTTTGCTAACTACAATTTACCTGTGGTCTCTTTGGAAGCACGTTATCCCATGCTTGCCTTTTGGGCTGCTTTGAAGCACCTGGTGGTATAGTTCTCTATGAAAAATGAGGTGTTAGACTAAACCAATCACGAATCTGAAAAACAGTCATTTTGCTTAAACTCCCACTAGCAACTGCTTAAAAGTTTATCTCTCCAAACTAAAACAAGTAAGATAATAAGCCCACACAATAGGGCTGACTCTTCCAAAACAAATACGTACACAGGGTAACATAGTAATAACTCCAGTTGAATAGCGTTGAAATACAACAGTGGGTGAAAACTGATTCAGATGGAGTGAACTGGTTTTGTCCAAATAAACTAGCATTTCCTTTTCCTTGGCTTTTATTATTAGCTGGCTCAAGCCTTCAGCCTGTGCTGGAGGCAAGTTGTGACTGACCTAATCACAGACTCACAGACCCTCTGAGGCAGGGGTCATCTCTGATCGTCTGGTCCAACCCCCTGCTCAGAGCTGGGTCAGCAAGACCAGGGCTTTGTCCTGTCGCGTTTTGAGTATCTTGAAGGGTGGAGACTCCACAACCTCTCTGAGCAACCTGCTCCTGTGTGTGACCACACTCAGTGTAAAAAAGTCTTTTCTTTTGTTTGAATGGAGTTTCCTGTGTTTCAGTCTGTGGCCATTGCCTCTTGTGCTGTCACTGGGCACCACAGAGAAGGGTCTGGCTCCATTGCCTTTACTCCCTGCGTCAGGTATTTACATCTGAGCTCTTTCCAAGCTGAGCAGTCCCCGATCTCTCAGCTTCTCCCATATGACAGATGCTCCAGTCCTTCAACCACCTCTGTGGCCCATCACAGGACTCACTCTGGTATGTCTGTGTCCCTCTCGTACTGCCGATCCCAGAGCTGGACCCAGCACTCCAGCTGTGTCTCACCAGGACTGCTCAGAGGGGAACGATCACCTCCCTCCATCTGCTGGTGATGCTCTGCTTGATGCAGCCCGGGGTGCTGTTGGCCTTCTTTCTTGCAATTGCTGTCTCATGTTCAACTTGGTGTCCACCAGGACCCCCAGGACGTTTTCTGCAAAGCTGCTTCCCTGCGGGTTGGCCCCCAGCACATCCTGGTGCCCGGGGTTCTTCCTCCCAGGGGCAGGACTTGGCACTTCCCCTTGAGGAACTTCACGAGGTTCCTGTCAGCCCGTTTCTCCAGCCTGTTGAGGTCCCTCTGGACAGCACAGGAAAATCATTCCAGCAATGTTCTTCTGTCATATCCGAGCTTTAAAGGCCTGCTGCTCATTTGCCTGCCCTTATCTCCAGGACTGATGAGTACTACTTCTGTAAATGCCAGTTAATTATAATAATTAAAAAAAAAAACATACTGGGCTTGTGTTACAGCTCTTAATGGGACAGCATTCCAATAGCTACAGATCTAGGATTCTTTAGATGGAGAGATTATGGCTTGGATGCTGATACAGATATTAAGAACCAGTAACAGACTAGACATTGTATTAGCTTTCATTGAACAAAAATTCTTTACACATAGAAAATTATGGTACTAGTTACCTTAAGAAAGTTCTCATTTTGTAATATTCCAGCTTAATGAATGATGAAATTTGAGTATGCTCTTGTGCAGCACAGCTAAGGGCAAGGCTGTAATTTTGCCATGTGAAAGGAAGAGTCTAGAGTCTCACGAGCAGAGGGAGAAGTCTGATATTGAGTAACAACATGTTACCTAAGCTTTCTGTGCTGATACGATATTTAAATGCCTTTTTTCGGGGGGGGGAAGGGTGGTGTTTCTGACTCACACAACTGATTTCGATATAGGGGACTAAAGACTTTGTAAAGACTACGGCTGAAGGCTATATCCTTGGTATAATTATGCAGCACTAGATGTGTAGAATACAACTGGAAGCTACATAGAGACAGAATAAACAGGGACACCCCATACATGTACCCTCCACACACAGACATACCCCACGCTACTTTCTTAAAATAAGAGGAATGCCTTACGCTCCTGGCTAGTGCCCCCAGCAATGTTTTCTATTCCACGAACATTTCTTCCCCCAACTCATAATGGCTTTTTAATCTGTAGCAATTACCAGACCATGGTATAAGAGCAAAAACTGTTTGGCCTGTTGGCCCCACTGCGCAATGTTGCCCGAGACCTTCGGATCAAACCTGTATTACAACTGTGTTCCTTTTCGTCCTTCTACTGGTGTTTTCCTGCTGTTTCCTGAATATGGAGGGACTCGAGGAAATGTGATTTTTAATCCAGTCCTTGAAACTGAATATATCACTGAAAAGCAGAATGCAGTACTGCATGTATTTGAGCCGTGTATCTGAGCAAGTTAAAGCACTTGTCTGCGATACTTAAAGAGGGTGCTCTATTGTTTAATATGCGTCAACGTATACTAATGCCTCATGTAAAAACCATTAACGGAAATGTGTCTGAAAGATAACGTTCAAGAATAAACTGACAGCTTACATCAATTTATTTATGGTATTTTAATACCAAGTTAATGCATTTCTCAAGTAAGAATTTATAAATCTGGTAATTTATAGAAAAAAATAAATCACAGCTTCACAAAAAGCTAACTTTCAACAGTTTGTCCCCTCCCCCCCAACACGCAGTTTACAATATATTTCAACTATGTTGGTAGAAAGTTAACAGTGGTGTGAAATTCTTAAGAAATATTTGCAACAGCAATTGAAAATAAAATAATGATTTTTACTCAGTGAAAAAGTAATAGGAATTGTGTTTCCCACTCAAGGATAAGTCAGAAAAGCAGCAAAAAATCCCCCTCCTACTTATTACGTGCTACCTTTCCCCCTGCCACATACATCATTGGCAAAGGCAATGCTTCAACATTAATCATTCCCAGGTTCAGTGGTTTTGGCAAGAATTCATACCCAGAAGTCCAGTGTTTGAGGTGTGTGCCGCCCTTGCCCTGTGTGCTCTAAAGGCTGCTGTTGCTCCTGTTCCTTGGGGTAAGGTGGGATCAGCAACAGCTTTGAGTAAAGGTAAGGAATATAAAGATTTTTCTATGGGTTCATGTTCATTTTTCACCCTTTCTTCACCTCTCTAATACAAACTGGAAAACCCAGAAATTTTAGTTGTCACACCTCACATTTGAGTATTTATAGGAGATACAGGCCTTGAATGATGTTGTTATATTTTCACCTGTGCACAAAAATCCCCTCTGTTGAATTTATACATGCAACCACAGGACAAAAAATGTTCCTTCTCTAACTTCTTAATTAAAAGTCACATTTTCAAAGGTCATTGCACTTGATAATAAAAAGGCAATTAATATGCATTTGATATTAAATATATTGTACAGACCTGAACTTCTGTGCAATCCATTGCTTCAGACACACAAGTATTTAACATCTTTTTAAAAACTAAGCCTCTAATCATAGTTTAACAAAGAAAACCAAACTTTGTTAAAGACTATTTTTTAAAGACAAAAACCTTTAAGAACAAACACGCACAAAAAAACGCTCCCTTTAACTCCTAGTGCATTTAAACACATCTTTGAAATTCTCCGTGTTGTTCCCACATTTAACCTTGCTATCTTTCTATACTGATCTAATGACACTATACAAGAACACATGTTCTCTGACCCAACCAATAAGGCTGGCATTTGTCATGCTGTTGGTACAAACAGGAAAGCTGAAGAGAAGATTATTGCCTCACTCCTTTACCTGTGGAGGACAAAAAGTTTCAAAGCGGATGCAACTCAGTTTTCACACATGTTGCCTGTGAACTCCAGTGGCCTGTTTCAGGTGTCAAGTGCCTACTCTTCCAAGCCAGGGTTTTGGGATGTCCCAGCATATTTTGTGACAACTTGCTGTTAAAACTATGGACATGGAAACTGAAAGGGAGATTTTGGTCCCTGAGATATACCAAATGAGATCAAGAACTAAAGCACTGATATTCAATTTGGAGTGGACCCTCTTTAAGGAAAACTAAGTTAGCTTCAACTTTCAAAAGTTTAACAAATAGTCACTAAAATACCCTTGAGCAGGATGACAGAACATACGCAGCATTGGTCAAGAAAGTGCATTGTACAGAGTAGTTTTGAGAGTTATCAGTTGCCAGGGACCCAGAAGCTGTCCTGTCAATAGCGTGTCTTTCCAAACTAACACAAAAATACAAGAATATGAAACATGGCCTTAACCAAAACATCTACTTACTCCTATCTCTTTCAAGGTACAGCTACAGAACTTAGTGTCTTAAATACTCCTAATGGGCAAACTGACTTCATGCGCCAGAAGCCAAACCAAACTTTTTAGCTTTGTAATTGATCATTTTAACAGTACTCTGTAGACCGTATCGGCAACCTCTTCCATGCCAAACCGGTGGCGATGTTCGCTACTGATAATACATTGCGAGCTAGTGTTTAAAAGGTTTGTACTGTTGAAGGTGTTTCAGACCAGTGACCACTACAATAAAAGATCTTTGGCAACCATAGACATATGAAAGGTAATTCACAGCAGCCGGAAGAATTGTAAGACGTTTACAAATTTCTATAGTGCATCATTAACTTTCTGCAGTGTGTTGTATAAAGTACCAAAACCCTGAAAAGGAGAGGTAAACATCTGACATCATTACCTCAGAAGTTGCAGGGTTTTCTTATACCAACTTTCTCAAACAACACTAGGGCTTGTGAAATTTTAGAGGATGATGTGAGATAGTCCACGCAAAGGCCTCCAGTGCAGTTGGAGTTGATGGTGAAGGGAGCAGAGTAATGAAGGGCTGAAGACTTAAGTTTCAGTGTACCACTGGGAGATTACTCAGAGACTGGCAACAGATGGATTCACGAATGGATTTAGTCACACAAGTAGTGTAATCACATTGGTGGTGGAATCTCTTCAGACAACAACACAAAACGAAACAAAAAAAATCAGCTGCATCCAGAGAGTCCACTAAGTAGTCTCATTTACCAGTACCTTAAATAAGAAAGAACGTGCATTAGTAACATAGAATTTACTCTAAAACATTAATAACACTCTATAACACAGCTGAGCTATAACAGGAATTCAGTATAACCGTCTTTTGTTTTCAATTAATGCAATATAAATTAGATGTATCTTGTGACACCAGATAAGCCAGCATTTAAGTGTGTGGGATGTGCACATAGTAGGAGAGAAGACACCACACTATTAAGATGGGTAAATTTTTAACAAGTAGAAGAACTGAAGGAAGGTACTCTAAGCTTATTTTTTTCTGAATATGAGCTCAGCTTTCAGAAATTTGGGAAATATTATTGCAACCAACTTGCAGAACTGCATAGTGATCCCTATATGTAAATTAGTATGCAATTTGGCAGTAACTATCACAACACAAAAAAATAAAAAGGAAAAACAGAATCTTAAAAGAAACCCCAAAGGGTATTTAAGCAGGAAGAATATAGTATTACTATCAGCACTGATACCTTATTTTGTGAGAATAAAGTCAAAGAACTTTATACCCCAAATGTTACGTAAGATCCTGTATATAGCCAATCCCTACCTTGAGAGGTGCCAATATAATCATGCAAAGGCATTTCTTTAAATTTGAATCTAATAAAATATAGTATCACTTTCAGTTAACTCCCACCCCCCAGAAAGAGTACAGCTACAGAATATGTTGAAATTTGTCAGATGTCCACTTCCAAAACTAGCATGAACTTAACAGAATCTTAGCATAAGGACTCCAGTTGCTACACACAACTTGTGTTAATAGTGAGATAGAACAAAATATTGGCCCTTTCTCCCCTGGGAGAGAAGAAGAATGAAGATCATAAAATAAGGTACAAGTAATTCACCTGATTTTGATGAAATTATGAAATGATATAATGAAATACAGTATTGTTCTTCATATTCAGTCATCAGGTGCTGCATGAAAAAGGCAGTTAGTTTAGCAGTCCTGTAAACGCGTTTTTGCCACGTTAGTGTTCTCTGCTCTGCTGCAGCAGATTTTTCCTTCGCATTTCAGTAGTTGTAAAATCATGGCTCTGCCCTACAGAGACACGTTCAACAACAGCACTGCCGCCATGCAAGACTTACTGCTGTTTCAGCACATGAAGGATGAATTCAATCCTCAGTAGATTCAATCCTCAAACCTACTATACTGATGACTGCGTTGGAGTTCCAGTGTTTCATTAAAAGATAAAATGTAACAAATTAATTAATGGAGTTCCTGCACTGAATTAGAAGGAAAGTCTGGTCAGCTAGTTCCGGCTTTTACAAGCAAAAGGATACTTACCAGAGTAAATATCTAAGGGGGAAGCAGCCCTGCTCCAATCAGCAACACAAATTCTATATATCATGTTCTACTCTAGCACACAGCTGAGCAAAACTACAACTTGAACATATCATCACTCATGCTATTCCTTTTTAGACGTCATCATTTCAAAATAAATAAGAGCTGGAAATTTGTTGCAACTTCTCCTGTCCCCAAGCTTACCATGTAAATAATATACCAATATATTGGTATATAAAGTAATTATATTGGTATATATAGTAACTATATACATATAATAACAGTAACTACATCAATAGTTACTGTCATCTGAAAACAAGGGCAAAAATGGGTTCTGAAGGCCAGAGTGAGTTGAGATGAATGTGTTTTCCACTTGTGGGTCAGAAAGGCACTGACAAGCTTAGGGAGGGGAGAAAAAAAAATATCTTTTTTTATGAGTTCCAGCAGTGCAAGTTTAGATATTTATATGCAGGTTACTGATTAGTTGTTTTTAAAAAGCAATAAACCCAGAATTTAAGTTGCTTATCTGCCCACTTAACATTGATCTTCATATTATTTTAGGTATCCTCCATGTGGTGAAGAACCTGACCTGGAATTAATATTCAAGTTGCTTAGTTCAGCTTGTTAAAAATTTACCCACTTATTCACAGCTGGTTTTATTTTACTCTTCATAATCAAGATTGTTCTTATTCACAGATACATTCCAGAGTTAGTAAATCAATGTCAATCCATTTGTTCAGTTTGATTTTTGCCTAGCATTTGTTTAGTTTGATTTTATTTCTCCTACAAGCTCAGACAGTCTCTGCCATGCAAGGAAAATGACAATTGAATAGTTAATTCAGGCTGAATGAGTAGAAACAAAATACAAACACATCATCACAGGAGCATGCTAGAGTCCTCAATTGTCTGTTTAATTAACACCCCCCGCCCATCCCGCCAAAACCAAAACAAAGAAAGAAAACTAAACAACCACCCCCAAAAAGCTTACTAAGCAGCAACAATGGCTATACTGTAAAATATTTTCTTTGGAATGAAATTATGAAACACAACAACAAAGAACAAATGACATCACCATATAAACTTCTTTTTCTTACCATTGGAATATCTTAATGAAATGTCTTACTTCTGGCATAAGTAACTAACACCGTCATCCATATTAAGAATTTTCTTTTAAAATAAAACATATATTAATAGGTTGAAGATGCATCTTCATTGCATATGCACACAGGCCCTTTCCCCAGTTTTGCAGATAGGCCTTTTAAGGGTCTCTTCTCTTTACACAAAATGAATTCACTTATCCATCAAGAGCTAAGTACAAAAAGAATATTCTATAGATTTAGTAATGAAGATTTCTAACCATACAATAGTTCCAAGGGGACCAGAAAAATGAAAGGGGTGCATGAAGCCTTTCAGGGACAGAAGAAAAGTCTTCACTTTATTTAAAAAAGATCCTCAAAATAATTTTAAACATTATGAGAAGAAATACAGGATAAAGAATGGAACCTTATTCTAACTGCAATGCACACTATAATGCAGGCAATGCAAAACTCTGCTAGGCTGCTCCAACCTATATCTATTTTATAAACTGTATACAGTCTGCATAGCTAGACGAAGGGAAGGGAGAGTTCAAGGTTTCATGTGCATCTAACAAGTATGAGTTTCATGGCACATGAGGATGAATTCACTTGGTTCCCTTAGGTACCATATGTCTAATTCACACCTTCAAACACTCGTGTGCATGAACAACAAAAAGCATCAGTCATTTTTGCTAAAAATAAACAGATTGAATACAAAAAAACCCCAAGACTTAAACTAGTGTAGATAGCTTTTAAAGTGATCTAGTTCATATAATAACTAACCTGAGACGTACTTTGCTCCGATTAACATTATCATGCTACTCATAATAAAAAAACCCAAAGGCAGACTACAGAAGATACTAGTGTCACCTGATGTCATCCAGGGGAGGGTGTTTCCAGTCAAGCAAATCAAAAGAGAAATATATATATAAATTGCAATATATGTGTTAAAAATCATATGAACAGCAAAAAATAACAAATGTAGTGACATTTGCAGAAAAACTAAAAAAGATTATGCATAACCCCCACAATAATTCAAAACAGGCTCTCAATATAAGAGTTCAAATCCAAATTCCACTGTTAGCACTATCTAGGTTGAGCCCATTTCTAGTATTCTTCAACCTTAAATAATCCTAGCAGACAGAAGACAAAGTTTCAAAGCAAGAACTAAGGAAAATAACATTTCCCCCTGCAGTGTTAAACCAGAAAATCACTGAGGGTAAGTTTTGATAAACATATCCCTTTTCACATGAGCTGAAGAACAAGATCTAGTTTTATTTTCTCCAAGGCAGAATTTTCTATCCTTCAAAAGGAAATAAAGATATATAAGTAAGATACACATCAAGCACGTGGGATTTTAGGATACATAACAGAGAGTTTTGATGTAACGCTACTACACCATAATGGACAATACTGAAGTGAATCTTATTACTCATGATAAGTCACCTATTTCCCTTCCAAATAGCCTTGACGGAATTGTTTGTATAACCATGGTGTTAAATAAAGCACTTAAACCAACATATAGGATGGTAAAAGGAAAATTTTAGCTTTTGCTTTCAAGAATAAAGTAAAAGACTTCATGCAGCTTGAGGGCTGCAGCTGTGGACTGTGGGAGGAGTTTACATTTTGAGGATTCTTTACTTAATACTTTTCATTCTAGTAGGTTTTCCAACAAAAGGGAAATGAAATGAAGATAAAGCCCATAAATGATGTGTTGTAGGATGATTCAGGACTAAAAACTTATCCTGAAATAGTGCTGAAATATAAATTCAAATTATACATCACAGAAGACTGCAGGTTTTATTTAATTCAAACCTGACAGATGAAAAAGCCTTCTACTTGAAATGATAACTTCTTGCTCTTACCCCTTGTGGGTCAAACCGATTTTGATGTGGCTATCAATCCTTCCTTCCTATACAGCAAATAATAAAGGCAAGGTATAGCAAGAAAAATCACAGGATGAAACCTTTCTCCTTTGCAACATGAGGTTAAAGTACAAGAAAGTTTATGAAATCCCTGCACTGTCTCAGATCTGTGCTGTATCTCTTCTTCTAGGTAAGACTTTTTTCTTTTGTAAACCAATGCTATTCTGCAAAACCTGCAGTTAGTCTTGGTGTCGTGTCCTTTGTTTTTAGAGCCCTACAAGATACTGCTTGTGCCCTCCTTTCAAGAGGAAGACCTATGTATTTTCCTGCTTTGTTTCCACAGTGGTTTTAAGTAATAATTTTTAAATCATTGGAATGGTCCAGAGATGGTATGAACTTAAAAGGTCACCAAACTCAAGATTAACTACCTAGGCTAACTGGCTAATTAATAATACTTGACCTGCATTAATTTCTGGTTTACCATTTGAAGGAGCTTCAGATGTCTCCCAGTCCATAGATTTCATCACAGCTTTCTTCCATCTGGCATAGCGATATTCACTTTCTGAAATTGAGAAATCGGCAAACAGAAAAGCCTCTCAATGCATATGAATACAACTATGAGTATTTAGGAAGCAAAGACTACAACATTAGCTTTCCACTCTTCTGCGCAGTATAGTTTGCACAGCACAATTATTATAAAATGCTGTTTTGAATAAAAAAAAAAAGAAATCCAACCAAAACAAAACAACCCAAAACCCCACAGTTATGCACAGTAAGGATAAATAAACCTTAAAAACAATTTTCTGCATGTTCACCAATAAGAAGACTTAGAAGTAGGACAAAATGAGGCAATTGCTATTCATATAGAAGCCCTTCAGTGTTGAAAATACTGTCTTGAAGTAGGGATTATAGCAGTAATTATAATCAAAATGGTAAGACAAAATTCTATACCAAAAATTAAGAAATATTTGAACAGACAAAAATGCATTTGTCATGCACATGGATTAATGATGTCAAGTACATGCTTTCCATCTCTAGAAGCACTTAAGAACTGATGAAAAAGATAGTTAGCTAAAAAACAATGATTAATGTAGGCTTTTTAAAGCCAAAAGAAAAGTCTCCCAAAACCAGACAGTCTGTCCTTTCTACATCTGTGAAAACTCACAAATGCACAGGATTTCTTTGATTCTACTTGCTATAAATCAAAAGCTACTAATTGCAATGCCCAGTGCCAAGCTGCTTTCAAAAAGCAGAAAGAAAAAAATCCCAACACATTCCGCTGTGGAGTTATGTTTTTCTAACCATTTTCCAATCTTACTAGTCAATAAATGTACAAAACAGCAAATGAAATGCACTTTTCTCTAAAGCAAACACTACAAAGCTGATCTTCAACATTTGTGAGGATATCCATATATAGCCATTTTTATATCAGTATGTTAGACTGCAACAAAAAAAACCCGATCTGTTGGGCATAAAATATTAAGCTTGCAACTTCTTAGATAATATAAAAGGGTTTTACCCTCCGGGTTGATCTGTGGTTCAAATCGTTCACATGTCACTGCTGTCAAATCGCCAGGATTCAGACTCCAGATTCCAACTCCTTCTGCAGCTCCTGCTGCCATAGCAGCTCCTAGAGCTGTTGTTTCAGGCATTGATGGCTTTACTGAAGTAAATCGCAGAGAAGGCCATGATGATTTTTTAAAGAAAGTCACCCTGATGACATCAGAACTAAAGCTTTACATATATATCTAGAATGACAAATATTTTCTACAACTGCTATATGCTTCCTTTATGTTTACCAACTGCAAACCTCATTTTATTGCCATTCACATGGTTATGAGGCTAACCACCTCTGAGTCATCCAAGTCTTTGAAATATCTCAAATCACTACTTCCTTCAAGACTGAATCATGCAATTGCCCATTTTCATACCACATGCAGGGCTGCTGACCTCAACCAACAGTTTCCTTAGAGTACTCCTGTTAATAATATATTATTTTTTTGTCTTCTCCCTCTCTCCTCAAAGCAGTGGTCATTGGCTAAGTTATCAGTCTTGTTCCCATCCTCTAGATACTGTGTTATTAAAAACTTCTATATTTAGAAAAGGCATCTTAAAAGAGGCTACACACCTGTACTTACTAGCTTGTTTGCCTTCCACAGATGCTATAGAGGACCATCCCACCCCCCAGATGTCAATGGTACATCTGTTCCATTAACTCTAGAACATGAGCGTTGGAGGTGCAAAGTTCTGATTTATCTCTGAGCAAGATTCTTAGGGCCAACATGTTGGAGGAGAGTGTTAATTTCACTGATTTTAAAATCGTTAGATGCTTAGAAATCGATATGACAACTTTAAAGTTCAATACAATTGTAGTGCTGTAATATTTCAACACAAGATAAGTCAGTGATTCTCTATGAAAGTGAATGTCAAAACTGGATGCAAGATCTAAAAACTTTTTCAGAAAAAACCCCCAACATTCTCCAACAGTAGCAAAAGACCAGCAACAACAACAACAACACAGACAGACATCCAATTTGCCCTCATCAGCTGTTGCAAACCAATGTTGTTTTCAGCTTTAAAAAGAAAATAGGAGTTGTAATTTCATCTTACCTACTGGAATACAGAGAATGTCTGATTGGAGTTGCATGAGGATTTTGTTATTGGTCATTCCTCCATCTACTTGTAACTGATTTAGTGGTATCCCACAGTCCTTGTTCATGGCATCTAAAATCTTAAGAGCAATATATGTTATGATTTAATTGCAGAGAAATCCATGATGCCCCCTGAGTGTAAAATACTGATAATTCAGCATTCGCTGGAGTGTTAAGCAGATAATTCTCCTCCCCTATATATCAAAAGGGCAAAACAGAGGTAGTGACAACACAATTTTGTTTAATATATGGCAAATGCATTCTATTTATTACAGAAATCCTAGTGTAGGAGATGTTTCTCCTCTGATGCTCTATATCTAGCCTATGTGTTGCTTATATGGTCTCAGAAGAAGAATTTTGAAGGAAAGCTGATGACAACTAAAACATTTATCAAAGTTAACAAAGGAAGAAGTAATACTAAATGGAGTCCTTCAGCTGATTACAGTTTGTCTAGATACTTTCTCTGATTTGATGCGTTAAAGAATTGAAAAATTAAAATGTTTGAACTGGCAATCTGGAAGACACTTCAAAAGGAACTGCTGAATGTTGAACTGTTTTGAAAGAGCAGCTTCTTGAAATATTTTCAATTAGCTGTTGAAAATTGAGAATTTTACATTACATGACATAGACAGCAAAAACAAACTGTTAGTGTAATCTTTTGTAAAATTCTTTTTCCTTCTTTTGGGCACAGTGGAGAGCTGTAAATAAATGAAAAGTGTTAAAGTGTTTGCAAGGGATAATTAACTAAGAGTGGAGTATTTAAGTATTTAATTCACTGATACCTATCAATATGTGTTTTAGAGGGTTTCCTGAAAATGTAAGATTTGCCTCAAACATTAGCTACTGGTAACACCATGGCATTATCTTACAGGCACCTATTAAATGCAGAAGAGTGGGTTTTCTAGGGTTTTGTGAAAACAGTCAATTAAATGTCTCATTTACATTTTTTAAGGTTAGTGCATTTTTGTTGACAGTTAGTCATTAACTAGTGCAGAATGATTTTTTCTTTGTAATTTTTCAATTTATTTGAATAAAAAAAGAGGTGTGCTTCTCTCAGCTTTAGATGACAAAGCAACATAGACCACAAAAAAGACCAAAACTACAACACATTCTGTGCTGTTCTGTAGTTCACAAAGTACCCAGTTATACAATCCTTACTGGGAAAAGTCAACATGTTTTTTAAAAAGAACAAAAAAATTGTAGGTTTGTAAGGCAGTAAAAACTATATGGAGATGAGCTGTCCAGTAGGTTCTACCCATTCCCAGAAAGTAAGTCAGCAAGGTCCCTTACCAGAAAATCTTGAAAGGAACTAAAAGAACTGCCACAGGATAAACAATGGTTAAAAATTAGAAGGTAAGAGTAAAAGGCCAGTTTTCATGGTGGCAGCATCTGTCTATGGGTCTGCACTGTTCAATACATTAGAAATAACCTGGAAAAGAGGATTCATAGCACAGCAGCAAAGTTCGCTGGCAGTGTTAAGCTGGTACTGCTCCCCACCACTTACTTTCTTCACATGTATCATCTTACAGTTGTCTATGCTGATTTCACCTGCCATTTTTACCATTCAGGACTTCAGCAGTGCCTCATAATCTCAGCTTTACATACACATACTGTTGGAGGCTCTGGCTTTGTTTATCACTGTGCAAGAGCATGTTGGACCATACTATGCACTCAGTAGAGATTAAAAAAATGAAAAGAATGCTAGAAATCAGGAAGGGATGAAGGAACAAAACAAATCATGATCATGCTGCTGCTGTCTCTATTGTACTGAGGTTGGATGAAGAGCAAGGTATCCAAGTATGGAAGTTTTGTCTAATGACAGCATTGTACAGCTCTTAGAACTGAAAAATTGCTTGTTTTTCCATAATGCCTTCTGGAAGAAAAAATGTAACAAGTGTCATCTGCCTGCACAAGGAAGGAGCTTTTTGGATAACACAGAACAGAGACTTCGAAGGATTGGATGGCACAATAAAACAAGCAAAAAATACAATGACCATGAAATTTGAGGGTTTTCCTTAAAGATACAAAAGACTTCAATTTTAACTGGAATTAAAACAAAAGAACTTTCTTTCTGACAAGGCAGAACTAACAATGTATCTTTGAAAAATGAACATATATTTTATCTGTGTCACTAGGACTTAATCTGTTAATTTAAGCATGTCCAGAGACCTAATCAGTCACTCCTGTCATTGTGATAACAGCACATTGGCTAAAGTATGAGGAAGTATTAGATCTGTTCAAACAGTTAACTTCACCCTCACTCAGTCTGAGAGCTTTAATCCCCTCCCTGCTACTCCGTGCCACATGCCCTGTCTCTTGTTCTGACATTTGCTACACCCCTCTGCAAGGCAGCTGAGGTCATTAATCCAGCAGAAAAATAGCCCAGCAAAAAGAGGGATAACTTTCTGCTGGAAAGTTCATTGAGCTGTCACATGAGAGGGAATGGTTGGGAGGTGGGACAAGGAAAGAGAAGAGCAGACAACAAACTAGACTATCAGTTCAGTTCCCTGTAACATTACCCTGACTTCTAGTACCAGAATTAGAGATATATGCTACTTCCAAGCTCCTTCACAACTTTCTGAGGACTCAGAGGCTGTTAGCATAGCTTCAAAAGCAGACACCGGGGTGAAATTTCTGTCTGTCTTTTTCCACATGAATACTCTATTCTATGTCACTACAGAAACAGCAAGCTGTTTTCCTCCTCTCACACAGTTTTAGCTGGGTGTTATTTTAAAACGCAATATGTTTAAATAACAGCAGTTTAAAAACATGCAATCAAATTAAGGTTTGACTGTTATCCTTTGGGGTCTAGGGATTGCATTTTCTCCTGTATTTGTATGGAACACAGGGAGCGTAAATTGATAGTAGATGGTCATATAAAGATTCTAATGCTCAGAACATACTGACATCAACCCCTTTGATTTGGCTGGAGGATTCATTTCTTCTGTGAGAATTTAGGTTTGCTGTTGAGGAATGCTAGCTAAGGCGATGCAAGATGTAATGGGCTGGAAGCGAATCCAGATTTCCCTTGGTATGTTTGCTGCTGTCTTGCTTTAACTCATTTTTGCTCTTGTGTACTGAAAGCCACATAAGCCATCTCCATCACAGCAGAAAATATAAAATGTAGTCTCCTATGTTGTAGAACTAATGCAACTTTTTAGTTATGGCACTGGCCTTGTAATTTTAATGTTTCTATGTTCTGCCTCTCAAAATATTCACAAAATACGTTCACCTTATTTTAAGTGCTGATAAAATGCAGGATTGCCACAAAATAATGTACCACCCAACCAGATCATTGTAGCTAAGTCCACAGGAACAATTTTTCAACTTTAGCACCACGTAAGAGAAGAAGAGCATTCAAGTACGATATAAAGCATATGATTAATCTTTGTTAAATCTTTTCAATCCTCTCTTCCTGAAGAGCTACAGTCCCTGTTATCATACTAATTTACAATTAACTTAGGACTCAATTTGCCTTTACCTCTCGTGTTTGAAAGCAGACCGCTTCTAATGCAGCAAAGGCGATGTGGTTTTTATTTGTAAACTGAGTAAGGCCACAGATAATACTGTTGAAGAGAAAAAAAACCCAAACAGTTAGGACATACTTCTTTACCAGATATACACCATTACTTCAGACATAGGCCTTCTAATTCAAAGCTCATGCAGTTCTATTGTTTGAGGACTGCTTTTTGATATTAAAAAGCTTGTTTCTCTTTAATCTCAACTCTCTCATCCCTGTTATCCTGACAAACATGCTTTCAGTGTTCAACCAATGCAATTGCCATGAATTAAAATTTTATTGCCAATCTGCATGCAAATGGGTGCATATTCACCCCTACACACACACACACAAATTCTAGTGTTCCTTTAAGAAAAGGAAATGTATGATTGTGGCTGATTTTTCTTTAAAAAATCATATCACCTACCACTAAAATCTTAATAAATTCTCTAGTGCTTTCATTTCTTAAGGAAAAGCCCAGCTGGGTCAGTGCTGTGCTCTAAATGCTTAAAATTGGTTTCAGATCTATTCTGATCATTAGTTGCTTCTGCACCTTCAGAGAGATTTTTGGATATGGAAATTATGCTACATCTAACCATGAGTAAGCTGAATTCTGTCAATGTACTCTGAACTGCAGAGCAAATAATCATTCTTTTATTCTATTTCAACATGTGAGGAATAGTAGCATACTACACAGAAATGCTGCTATATTTGGTGCTGGATACATGCAAGTTCAAAGATATTAAAGGACATTTTTAGTTGTTGCCATTCCAAAGATCAGCTTTTAACAGTTAAAAAGTTAAGCGCTGTGATCTGAAAAACTGTAAAAACATCTAACTCAATGATTTTTTTCTTTCTTACATAGAAAAAGCATGTAAGTTCTAAAGATGCAATTACTCATAACCTTGGGAACTAGATATTCTTTAAGATTTCTTTTTTCATTTTAGGAAAGTTATTTAATATTTAAATTTGTTATGCTTCTGTGACTCCCATGGCATGTTGCGATTCCAGCAACAGCAGGCAAGCTCACAATAGCAGAAAAGACAAATAGAAGGTTATTCTTTGAACTAGTAGTACCAGCTAGTTAAGTCTTAAGAACGAGGAAAGGGACTGGAAGGAGAGGAGAAAAGAGTGTTCAATAGACTGGAAAGAAAGCTGGACATAAGGGGAAGAAGAGGGAGGAAAAGTGAGGAGGAATTAAGCAGCCTGTATCATTTGAGACAGTGAATGCAGCAGCCATGGGAAACTGAGCTCAGAAAAACTAATCAGCACTGAATTCTTCACTTTCTACTTTTGTTGCCTGACAGCTCACAGGTATTCAGACCTCCTCTTTCTCTTTAGTGATATGAAAATCCTTTCAGAACCAGAAATGACTGAAGGG